CAGGGGGCTCACCGAGGCGGACGTAGAGGACGTACTGCATGGAGTCGCGCGGCTCGGTGTACAGGATGCTGCCGCGCATGCTGAGCCAGATGATGGCCAGCTCGGCGATCATGCAGCTCAGCAGGATGCCCAGGTAGCCCCGGCCGTGGTCCACCAGGTTCAGGGAGCAGGTCTCGTCGGGGTTGTACACCAGCCCGAAGAGCACCACGGACAGGATCACGAACCTGCCGGGGAAAAGCGCCGGGAATGGGGTGAAGCCGCTCAACAGGCCCCATGAGGGTTCCATGTTTAGTTTGCTCCACCCGTTCCTATGGCCAGCTGGGAATTCTGCTCCCCCGGCACAGCAAATGGATCTGCTTCTTGTCACGTTATCCCATGGGATTTGCCACTCCCACCCTTGCCCACAGAAGCTGTGGCTGCCCCATCCCTGGAAGTGTCCAAGGCCAGGTTGGATGGGCTGGAGCAACTTGGGGTAGTGGAAGGTGTCCCTGCCCGTGGGATAATTGGAACCGGTCCCTCCCAACCCAGAGCACTCCAGGATTCCAGGATTGTTTTTCCTGAGCCCCTCGACAGAAAAACAGCCCCAGATTTCAGTAGACCCATCCCTGGAAGTGCTCCAGGCGAGGCTGGATGGGCTGGAGCGACCTGGGCTAGTGAAAGGTGTCCCTGGCTGTGGGATAATTGGAACTGGTCCCTTCCAAGCCAAAGTACTCCAGGATTCCACAACTGTTTTTCCTGAGCCCCTGTACAGAAACACAACCCCAAATTCCAACAGACCCATCCCTGGAATTGTCCAAGGCCAGGTGGGATGAGCCTTGGAGCAACCTGGGCTAGTGGAAGGTCTTGGAGCTGGAACTGGATGAGGTTTAAGGTCCCTTCCAACCCAACCCATTCCAAGATTCCATGATTGTTATTGCTGAGCCCCTGTAGGGAAACACAGCCCCAAATTCCAATCTTGGATGGCACGGGAGGATACAGGGAGCTCTGGTCAGGCTCTCTGGGACTAGGACAGAACTTGGAACTAGGACAGAACTTGGGACAGAGCTCAGCTGAAAAACCAGGAGATGGAATATCTTGGTGTCCCTCCGAAACGCCCCAAGAGGACCTTCCAGGTGCACGGGAAGAACTTCCAGCCGCGACGGGAGCAGCCAAAAGAATTCCTGGGAGGATTTCCAAGCCTCCCTGTGCCCTTCCCACTTACCAGGTGGTGTGCAGGAGGAAGAGGAAGACGGCTGGCAGAACCAGGTCATCGCTGCCCACGGACCAGCGGCGGCGGAACACGACAATCCCTGGCATGGCTGGCGGGTCCCGGGAAGTTCAGCAGGCACGACACTCACCTCCTGGAAAAGAACGGAGCCGAGGATGCTGAGCCCCTTCATCCTCCTCTGGAAAGCCCCATAACCCGGGGATGCATCCAGGAGTTATCTCGGGTTTTATTCCAGCACCTCTGTCATGGAGAGCCAGAAGGAATTTGCAGAGTGGGAATGATGAGGTGAAGCTGGTAACTCATCCAGCTCCAGTTCATGGGATTACCTGGAATCCTGTTAGGGCCAACTCAAACAACTCCAGGATTCCATGACTGTTTTTCCTGAGCCCCTGGACAGAAACACAGCCCCAAAGTCCAACAGACCCATCCCTGGAAGTGCTCCAGGCCAGGTGGGACAGGGCTGGGAGCAACCGGGGCTAGTGGGATTTCAGGCAGATTATTCCAGCCTCACAAACCCTCCCGTCATGTTTTTCCACGGACACGCCTGCTGCCAGGCTCTCGTTGGCTAACAATTCTCCCCCTCCCTTAGCTCAGGAAGCCAAAATATCCATTAGGAGTCAGTGGAAGCCTCTGAGGAATACCGCCTGGCTCCCAACAGCACTTCCAGCCGGGAATATCAGTTCCCAGGATCTCTCTCCCTGGACCATTCGGAGCATCCTGCCAGCTCCACATCTTTGCGCTCCAAACCCAAGGTGGGGGAAGAAGATCCAGGAGCTGCTGTTCCCTGCCCATGTTTTGTTTGTGCTCCTATTTTTAGAGCCTCACAAACCCTTTGGAAAAATAGAAACAGGAGCTCTGGAAAGTCACGAGACGGCACCGGGCGCTCCAGCCACCTCCTTCGGCAGAGCCAGCCCACACCATCCCGGCTGGAAGCACTCCAGCCCCGCTCCACAGGGGCTCCTGCAGCACAGCTTAGCCCCCTCCTGCTTTCCTGGCCTGGCACACGACCCGCAGCCAGGAACCTTCCCTGGCTTTGCCAAACCTGGGATTGTGTCTCTGCAACCTGTCCAAAGGCCCTGGTGCTTTCCTGGCTGTGGGATCTGTCCTGTTCCTCCCTCCATTCCATGTGCCTCCCTCCACTCCCTAATCTGTGTCCCTCTCTCCATGCCCTAATCCCTGTACCTACCTCCATTCCCTAATTCCTATGCCTCTTTCCACTCCATAATCCCTGTCTTGTTCTCCATGCCCTAATCTCTGTCCCTCCCTCCATTCCCTAATCCATGTCCCTCTCTCCATTCCCTAATCTTCATCCCCTTCTCCATTCCCAAATCCCTGTCCCTCCCTCCATTTCACGTCCCTCCCTCCATTCCCTAATCACCATCCCTCCCTCCATTCCCTAATCGCCATCCCTCCCTCCATTCCCTAATCTGCATCCCTCTCTCCATGCCCTAATCCATGTACCTACCTCAATTCCCTAATTCCTATGCCTCTTTCCACTCTCTAATCCCTGTCTTTGCTCTCCATGCCCTAATCCCTGTCCCACCTTCCACTTGTCCCCTTCCTGTGCTTCCAGGGATCATCACACTTTGGCTCTGCTCCAAGCTCTCCCAACTGATCCATCCCCATTCCAAATCCCAGCTCTGCTCCTCTTCCAATCCCATTTTTTCCCAGGCAATTCCATACCCTGCTCCCGCAGTGCTCCACCCATGCCCTGCAGTGCCCAGGCTGCTCCAAAGCTGTACTTCCAAATGGATAATAATTGCTCCTGGAATTCCAGAACGGATGAGAAGGGAGCTCATGGATGATCCAGTTCCACCTCTCTGCCATGGATAGGGACACATTCCACAGCCCAGGTTGCTCAGGATGACATTTGAACTGATTTGAACATTCCAAGTACCACAAATGTTGGGACTGGGACAGACCATGGCACCAATTCCCACCTTGTCCCACTAAATCCAACCTGGCCGGTGGGTGTGGTCACCGCCCCCCCTTTCCAGAACCTCCCAAATCCAGTCTCCCGCCCTTTGCCCACACACACAGTCCCTGGAACAGACCTTCCAACCTGCTGCAGCCACCAGCTCCTGGGAACCTCCCCAGACCCCAGGAGATCCCACAGCTCCACACTTCCAGCCCTTGGATGAAGGAAACGCTCCACTCCCCAAACAAAGCAAAGGCGAAATTCCAACACCACTTGGATTCACAATCCCTTAGCACAGAATAATCAGCACATTCCAGTTCTACCTTCAAACTGCCCCTCTGGAGACTCCTTCCTGGATATCTGCTGGGATATCTTGGATATTGCAAACCTGGACACATTTCCAGCATCTCCTTCCCTGCCTTTGGACAGCACCTCCCAGCCCAGCTCAGACCCCATTCCCATCATCCCTCGGCTGCATCCTGCCTTCCATAACTCTCCAGTTGTGCTCTCTCAGCTTCCACCACCCTCTCCCAGCTGGAGAACCAGGATACCGACGACGGCAGCAATATCCAATGGGAATTCCTTATCCACAGCAACGGCTGGGGCCGGAGCAGAGCAGCCTGTCACTCACTGGAACACTCCCTGTGGGAATGTCACTGCACTTTGGAGTGACACTACAAAGCTCCCAGGGCACTGCAGGAATGTTCCCAATTGATTCCCAAAGACTCCCAAATTTAAACCCCGAGGTATGGGGCCTCGGAAAGGAGGGAGATGAGGGAAGGCCTGAGACCAAAACCCTCCCAGAAAAGCTCTCGGTGGGAGGAATCTCCGGCTTCAGCCCAGCGTTGCTGATCCCGGGAATGACATGATGGGATGCTGGAGCTGTGATGGAGCAGAGGAATCAGGATGGGAGCAGAAGGTCAGAGTGCAAACAGCCCCGAGCAAAAACCCCACCTTGCTCCTAAAACTGCTGGAAAGAGCAATTCCCGGGATCTCGAATCCCAGCACAAGCAGCCCCCAAGCTCCCAGCACTGAAATCAGGGAAGCACATGCCCCAGGAATCCCCTCGGCGCAGGGAACGATCTATGGAAGCAGAAATCTTACATGGCATGTGGTCCAGCCGCTGAGCATCCTCCTCTCCCGGCAGGGCTTCCCAGGAAAAGTGCAATTCCACGGAGACGGGCATCACAAGCTCAGGAAGGAACAACCAACTCTTCGTGCAGCCATGGAAAATCCCACTCGGCAAAGGGAAGGACGGCGTGGGAATCGCCTGCCGACAGAGCCGGGCATCATCCTCGGAGCAACTCCCTCATTTATTCCCGGGAATGCCGAGAGCCAGGGGTCGTGACTCCCCCCCAGATCCACACCCCCAGCACCCTCTGGAAGGAAGTGACATCATCCCTATTCTGAGGAGATTGTGTGTGGATTGTGGGAAGGAGGATCGGGAGCGATGCTGTCAGGGATGCGGAGACGGGAGAGCAGGAAAACCCTCCCGAGCTCCAGCGGCACGAACCTCCTCCCTCTTCCCGCTGAGGAGCCGGGAATGCTGCTTGGAGCTCTGGGATGGCATCGGGCCTCGCTGGGAAAGGCCATGGAGGCTCCAGTGAAAGGCCAGGGGGAGGGGACTTGGATGGGACACAAAGGGACACACAGAGGGGCCACCCGGGCACAGAAAGGAGACTGTTCCAGAGGAGCCTTCCCGGCCTTTCCAGCCGTTAATTCCTTGTGACACGCTCTGGGCTCTGACAGGATGTGGGGGAAGGGGAGAACTGGCTGCCTGGAGGGAAAGGCTCAGGGAAAAGAGCACGGGAGAAAAAGGCTCCAGCGAGACAACATTCCAGATTTGCCTAATCCCCCATCCCACCTGAAAGGAGCTCCGGGAGAAGGTGCACAGGGAAGAGCCGATGGAAAAGGGCCGTGCCTGGATCCTGCACGGCAGGAGCCCACCCACGGCACGGCAGCACCCCCGGAGTCACCCACTCCCACCACCCAAATCCAGGAGCAGGATTTGCTGGAAGCTCCCAGATCACCCACATTCCCGAGGCACAGCAGCACCCACACAGCCCAGTGCTCCCACTCCTGCAGATCCCATCCCTGCATCCACAACCCCTGCAAATCCCCAGCATTTCCCCATCCCTGCAAATCCCCATCCCTGCATCCACAGATCCACAACTCCCTGCAAATCCCCATCCCTGCACCCAGAGGGTCACAGTTCCCGCAAATCCCTATCCCTGCATCCAGAGGCTCACAGCTCCTGCAAATTCCCATCCCTGCATCCACAAAGCCACAACCCTCTCCAAATCCCCATCCCTGCATCCACAGGCTCACAACTCCCTGCAAATCCCCATCCCTGCATCCACAGATCCACAACTCCCTGCAAATCCCCGTCCCTGCATCCACAGGTTCACAGCTCCCTTCAAATCCCCATCCTTGCAAATCCCCATCCCTGCATCCAGAGGGTCACAGCTCCCGCAAATCCCCATCCTTGCAAATCCCCATCCCTGCTCCCATATTCTCAGCATTCCCACCCTGATGGATTCCCAACCTCCTGCAGTCCAGAGCAAAAGCTGGGAGGCCCAAACCACAATGAAATGGGATCTGCCAGGAGTTTTTCCCCCCTTCTGACGGATCCCTGGGAACGTCTGCATGGAGCAAGCCCTGCTATCCCAATATTCATTCCCTACCTTTCCCCTCCGGCACCTTCCCACGATCCAGGTATGACAGAGCAATCCCACCTCACCCCTGCCAGCTCCCTCTCCCCAAATTCCAGAGTTCAAAGAGATTCCCTCAAAACAAGCCACATGTTGTTCATCTCCACTGCTCAGGGCTACAGAATTCCCCAAAATCCAGGATTTCCAGGCCTCAGGGGATGGTTGCAGGTGCCACTCCGGGACAAAGCCCTTTGCTGTTCCCCAGGATTCCAGCACATGCTGAGCCTCCCGGGATCCCTTTCCCTGGCTGAAATGCCATGTCCTTCCTTCCCACATGGAATACAGGTTGGATCACCCCCCTGCAGTTCACAGAACCCTCCTGTTCCCACAGGACACTGACTGGACTCGCCGGAAATCATCAATTCCGCCTTGGATCTGACTCCATCGGGCCCCTTCCAGCTGTTCTGAAGAGCTTTAAATGAAGCTCTTTCTATTCCTGAGTTGATTCCACACAATCTGGGAATTGTTCTTGCCTTGCAGGGAGAAGGGGGGGATGTGGTGACATCCATACAGAGTGTCCCGAAGCTGGCCTGAGGAATTTGCTGGGATGGCTCAGCCTGGAGAAGGCTCCAGGGAAAAAAGGGGCCTAAAGGGCTTCCAAGAGAGCTGGAAAGGGACTTTGGAAAAGAGCCTGGAGTGACAAGACATGGAGGAATGGCTCCCCACTGCCAGAGGGTGGGTTAAATGGGATATTGGGAAGAAATCCTTCCCTGTGAGAGTGGGGAGGTGCTGGAATGGATTTCCCAGGGAAATCATGGCTGCCCCATCCCTGGAAGTGTTCAAATCCAGGCTGGAGCAACCTGGGATAGTGGAAGGTGTTGGGGCTGGAACTGGATGAGCTTTAAGGTCCCTTCCCACCCAAACCATTCCAGGATTCCATGAAAATCAGGTTGGGGGGACAAATTCCATGGCACCAAAGGAAGACGAGCCCTTTCCTTTCCAGACATAGCTCCTGGAAGCAGAGCCCGCAGGAATTGCAGGGAAAGCAGCTGCCGGAAGGCTGTGAGGAGAGTTGTGCCCTCACTGTGATTTAGGGATCAGATCCCAGCCTCAAGGAATACTCCATGGACTAATGCAACATTTAAGAGCCCTATTTATAAGCAAGTCCCATCACGGAAGAAAAATCAATGGGGATTTTAATTTTGGGAGTATCTTTAAGATCCTCCTTGATAATCTCCCGTTTTCCAAGGAGAAGGGAACGAAACAAGTCCGTGGCAGAGCCGGGGCTTGGGGCTTCCAGGAGCCTCCCAGGACTTGGCACAGTTTGGCTGCGGCTCCCTCGGGATGAGGCAGCTCCGTCCCCTCCCCAATGTCACCGGGACACACTTAATGGGATCAGGCTGGAGCTGGACCTGCCCACTGACACAAATTCCCAAAATACACCTCGGAGCAGAAACTGCCCTTCAAAGCCCAGGGAACGAGGACTCACCTGCTCATCCCACGGGTTTAACCCCCAAATCCTGGGGTAAATCCGCCCTTGGAATTGCAACAGGGATGGACACAAGGTTGGTGCAACCAGGACAAAGCACTGCTAATCCCTAACATTCCTTCCATCCCAGCTAATCCCTAATATTCCTTCCCAAAGCCCCTCTGGAGCATAACCACACCCAGGAGCGCATTCTCCTTGCTTCCATCCATCCCCTTTTCCTGCCATTCCCCCAATTCCTGCCTTGGGTGGAAACAGGTCTCCCAAATCCCACACATCCTTCAAACACAGACATTTCCCACCTGTTACCCTGGGAATGGTTTAACAAGGAGACATTAGAAAAATCCCTCTTTCTCCTTGGCATGCACTTGCTCACAGTGGTGGAGTTTCCAGGAAAACCAGGATTATCTTGGAAATCCTAATGGATGGAAAAGTCCCAAAAGTCCCACTCGCAGCACTTGTTCCCCGGTAAAAGCAGGATAATGGATTCCCCGAATTAAGGAGAAACAAGGAAATCCTCTACTTTGGAATACGTCTCCTCCAAAAAAACAGGACCAATCCAGAGCCTGTTCCCAGGAATTACATCCCACAAACCAGTGATCCCAAGGGTTCTCCCCACTGGATATCCAGTGACATCCCACAGGTTAGGATTTTTCCAGATCCCAGAACCATAAAGGTTGGAAAAGCCCTCCAAGATCAAGTCCAACCATTCCCCAGCACTTCCAAGCCCACCACTAATCCATGTCCCCAAGTGCCACTTCCACACGGATTTTAAATCCCTCCAGGAATGGGGACTCCACCACTGGAGTGTTCCAATGCTTTACAACCCTTTCCAGGAAGGAATTTTCCCTAATATCAATTTAAAGCTCCCCTGGAGTGTCTTGAGGCTGTTCCCTCTCATCCTGTCCCTTGTTCCCTGGGAGCAGAGCGCGATCCCACCAGGACCCAACATCCAGGCAGGGATTTGTGGAGAGCAAAAAGCTTCCCCCCCAATCCTCCTTTTTTCCAGGATGAGCCCTCCCAGCTTCCTCAGCTGCTCCCAGTGCTCCAAACCCCTCCCTGGACACCTCCACTTCTTTCTTGTATCAAAAATCCAACAAGATTTATTAATTCCAAAGCTTCCCAACCATCCAAAGAAGATGAAGTTTTTAGGGATAACTCCTTAAAACAGGGAGACATTCCAACTGTCCAAACTAAATGCTTGGAGAGGGGTGAAAAATCCTCCCCCCACAGCTCCAAGATTCCCAACATTTTTCTCCTTGACCTCAGCCAGAGCACAATTTACCTCCAGAGCTCCACACTCGTCACCCTACGGAAAACCCAAAGCCTTCAGGAATGACAAGTCCCGATTCTCGGGAATCTGGGAGTGGAGAAGGAGCACAATCCAAGGCTGCTGAGAACTCAGGGAGTTAAACCCATCCCCCAGCCCCTGTGCCGGTGCTGCAGCCACCCACATTCCCTGCCGGCAGAGCCCACAGAGCAGCTTCCCGACGGCTCCCGAGCTCCAGCAAAAATAACGGCCAAGTTGCCGGGGGGGAAAGAAGAGGGATGAAATCCAAACTCATTTGGGGTTTGAAAGAGAACCTGATGTTCCAGAGGGGAATCAAATCCATTCCCGGTTAACAGCCGGCAAGGAAAGCTTGGCTGAAGTGGGGCTGGGATGCTGGGATGAGGTGATGGATACTGGAAGCACCTCACTGTTCTAAGTGATGGGCAGCTGAGCATCCCAAACCTGCTTTCTGGATATAATTACTGGGAATGAAAACTCCTTGGTTTCCTTAATTTCCAGTTGTTCACCACGCAACTAGTGGTTTTTCCATAGGAAAAATTCCAAGGGGTGGGTGAAGCCAGCGAGGGCAGATCCAAGCGGGAAGCGGTGCTCCCGCACAGACCGTTTCAGATGGAGCCTCATTCCTTTAGGAAAAGCTATTTTCCCCTACAATCCTGACAGCTTTCCACCCTGGAATTCTTACCAGCTCAGAAAAAAAAGGCAGGAAAAAAAACCCCGGAGGATATTTCCAGGTGCACCATTTAGTTTGGGGGTGTCTCCCCGCTCCGGCTCGTCCGGAAGCAATGCCTTTGGGAAGAGACAGGACGAGCCGTGTCATTCCAAAAGAATTCCCACTAGGAATT